AAGGGTATACCAGATGGATGCAGCAACCCCCCCCCCAAAAAAAGAAAAAAATTTCCAATGCCCCAAATGGAAAATTTGAGCAACAAACTTAAGTCGTACTGATTAGAATCCAGCATGTGACACATAACTAATGCATACAAATAATCCATATATATAAAAGCCTAAGCGACCCTTAAAACCGAATGACCGGAACAACCGGTGGACCAGTTGGTATGATGCGCACTGACCACCAGGGGGCAGATACTCAATGCAGGAGCTGCCCCCTAGTGGTCAGTGTGCTCCTACAGCCAACCTCCCACGGCTGGCCAACGTCCCCTCGTCCCTCTCCACAGCCAGCTGGCCCCCCCATCAGCCCAATGGGGGCGCCGCCAGCCAATCTCCCACAGCCCCTCCCCCCATCCGGCCTGATTCCAATGGGCCCTGATCGAGGGCCAGGCTGAGGGACCCCACCTGTGCACAAATTCGTGCACCGGGCCTCTAGTAAGTATTAATAAATGGACCAACAAAATAAGACCTGAAGCAGGGAGGCATGGAACAGACTGACATGCCTCAGTGTGAGGTTGAGGGGATGAGAAAAGATAAACCAAAGAACTTAGCCTATATAATAAAGTGGAATATGCTAAGTGTCTGACTGTTCATGCGACCGTTCGACCGTTCCACCAGTCGCTATGACACACACTGACCACCAGGGGGCAGACGCTCTGACCGGTAGTTAGCTTGCTGCTGGGGTCCGGCCAATCAGGACTGGGTGAGACAGGCTGGACATGCCCTGGAGCCCTCCCATGGTCCTTCCCAAGCTGGATTGCGAGAGGGCGCAGGTCAGGCCGAGGGACCCTAGTGTACTTACATGCACAGCCCACGGACGTGGGCAATAGGGTAGTGAAGACCTGGGGGGGGGGGGGGTAGGGGCTGGGAGGAGGGGAATAAAGCAGGAGGAATGGGAGATATCTGTAATACTATCAACAATAAAATATATATTGCCCGGCTGGTATTTCTCAGTGGTTGAGTGTCGACCTATGAACCAGGAGGTCACCGGCCGATTCCCGGTGGAGGGTACAGGCCCGGGTTGTGGGCTCGATCCCCAGTAGGGGGTGTGCAGGAGGCAGCCAATCCATGATTCTCTCTCATCATGATGTTTCTATCTCTCCTTCACTTTCTCTCTGAAATCAATAAATAAAAAAATATAAATATGTACCTTAAATATATATATGTATAAAGAATAATAATAAATGGGAGAATATCTCCCATGCAGAAGAATTCCAAGTAATTACTGGGGAGCTCTCCCCACCCCCACCCCCGCTCTGTCACAAGGGGGAGCCCCCTCCCGTGGTCCTGCAGCGTGGCTGAGCCCGGGTGTCCTCCCAGAGAGAACAGGGTGGGAAGAGGAGAAGAAAGAAACGACAAACCCCACCTCGGGGTGCTCAGGTCACGTGGCACCGTGAGTCCTGCCGATGGTGCCCTGGATGGTGTAACAAGAGGGTGCTTGACACACACACACACACACACACACACACACACACACCCGTCATCCTCCCAATCCAGCGTCAGCCGAATCCCGACAAGAACAGCAGAGGGCGCCCTCGGCACACCTGCCGCTCCTCTCCACCGGCCAAGGCCTCAAATCCAGAGCCCGAGAAGCTGCACCGCCAGGAGGTGCCCACACGCTACATGTCAGGCGGGGTCCTGGGCGGGTCCCGGGGCGGGGGGGGGGTGGCATTCGGGGGAACTGAGGGCGTCTGAGTGCAGGATGGCTTTATTGAGTTCACGATGTGTCCATATTGGTTCATTGATTGTGACAAACGCATCATAGTGAGCGTGTGAGTGAGTGTTCTCCAGGGAGCAGAACCAGCAGGACCGTAGACATAATGTAGATGTACATGCAGATTTATTTGAAGGAACTGGCTCGTGACTGGGGAGACTTGGTAAATCCAAATTCTATTGGGGGGAGGGTGGGGAGACGGCTGGGGCCCTGGGAAGGCCGGGCTTGCAGTTGGCTGTCTTCCTCGGGGAGCTCAGAGTTTGGTCTCTACGTCTTTCGACTGACTGGGCGAGGCCCCACGCTGTGGAGGGTCATCTGCTAGACTCAGAGTCCACCAGGATAAGTGGCCTGTTACTCTTGTTCAAACATCACCTTCACAGAAACATCCAGAATAGCGTTGGAGCCAATATCAGCATCGTGGCCCTGCCACGCTAACACAGGACGTTAACCGTGGCACCAACAAAGCCGTCAGGGTTGTGACACGCTGTCGCTGGCAGGATCCAGAAGAGGAAGCGGAGCATCAGAGAGGGAGGCGCAGAGGTGGGTGAGGCCAGGCCGCCGGGCCGCCCCAGGGTCTGCACCCACGAGCCCCAAAGCTCCAGGAAATCCTGCCAAACTGAAGACATACTTAGTGGAGGTATGTTTACAAAATAAAATGTTTTTATTGGAGAGAGAGAGAGAGAGAGAGAGAAAGAGAGAGAGAGAGAGACCTCAATGATGAGAGAATCATGGATCGGCTGCCTCCTGCACACCTCCCACCGGGAGTCGAGTCCACAACCCGGACATGGGCCCTGATGGGGAACTGAACTGTGACCTGGTTCCTAGGTCGACACTCAACCCCTGAGGCACACAGGCGGGCGGACATATGCTTTTGTAGGTGAAAGGAAGGGCCTGAGTTTGCAGCCTGGGTGAGGTTTTGGTTTCTCCGGACGTGGCCATTTAGTTTGGAATGAAAGGGGTGAAGCACTGCTTTTATGTGACCTGAGAGCAGCCTCCAACGTGACTGTGCATCAGAACTCCCCGGGGGGAGGGGACACCCCGAGGTTCCCGGTGCCGCGGGCCCGGAGCACACGCTGAGAACCCGCTGTGCGATGGAAGTCACGCGTGAACGTCAGCGCGCACGGCGCTGGGGGGCCCTGGGTCTGCTGGGGGGTCTGCCCATCACCTCTCTCTGCTCCCCCAGGTTTCAGACACAGGGTGGTGCCAAGGGCCACATGAAGCACTGACCTTCCGGGGGGCTGCGGCTTTCCTGTGAGCGACAGTGCACGATGACTGCCCCCCCCCGCACCCCCACACACAGCAGGGGCGGGAGAGACAGATCTGGGCAGACAGATGGCTGTGGGAGGGTGGTAGATGGAGGTGAGTGGAGGATTCCGGCGCCTCGACAGCTCGTCCTGCTCCGGCCCCCTCCCCAAGCCTCAGTTTCCCCCAGTGTTACAGGGGCCCCCATCCCCCCGCACCCACAGAGCCTTTCACTCCCTTGTCCAATGTGACCCCCATGGCCACCATCTCTCCTCTCTGGGTCACCTCGCTTCCTCCAGGTCGGCAGACCCCGGGGCAGGGGGAGCCCGGACATGGCCCTGCTCTGTGGGGACCTAATGGGCTTTGCGGGGGGACGGGAGCTTCTGTGTGGGGTGGGCAGCAGGGCTCTAGGGTTTGGTGTGAACAAGTGGTTCTGGGGAGGAAAAGCTGAGTGAGTAAGGGCGAGGCCTGAAGCTCCGGCTGCTGTGGCCCGAAGCCGGGTCAAGGGGAAGGGGCAGGTTTGCGCTTGTAAAGTAGGAAAGGCCCCAAGGCCATGCGGGGTGGGAAGGGCTGAGGCTGAGGCTGAAGCTGGGGGGCCACCCAGGCCTGAGGGAGGGGCTCTGTCTCTGGGGCACCCTCACCCCCAAGACCTGCTGGGAGCTGCTGTCCAGCAGGCACTCTGCTGCCCCACCTGCCGGCCCCCCACCCCACCCACGCGGGGAAGAGGGGGAGGGCGCTCAGCAGGCCTCACCTGAGAAAGAGCCACCTGGCTGGGCGACTGGTTGTCTAACCCACAGCCTCACCCCCAGCTGCTCCCCAAAGCTGTAATTATCGTTTCAGGCGGAAGGATTATTCCGAGGGGGCAGAGCCCCCGGCCTGCACTGGCAGGGACCCGGCTTGACTGGAGGTGACACTTGAGCAAGCTCCCTCCTCGGCCCCCCGCGGCTCCTGCCTGGGTCACAGGCCACAGGGGGGCAGGGGCGGGCCCGGAACCAGCCCTACCTTGGCAACAAGTAAAAGTAAACATGTTCTTCAGGTGATGCAGTCATGTCATCAACTCACCATTTTTTTTAAGGCATTCTTCTTTTAAAAATATATTTTTTATTGATTTCAGAGAGGAAGGGAGAAGGAGAGAAACATCAATGATGAGAGAGAATCATTGATCCGCTGCCTCCGGCTCGCCCCCCTCTAGGTACCAAGCCCACAACCTAGGCATGTGCCATGACCGGAAATTGAACCGTGACCTCCTGGTTCATAGGTTGACACTTAACCGCTGAGCAACGCCAACTGGCTGGGGCACGACTGTCCCTAGTGACCACGGCTGTCCATGTGGTTCTCAGCCCCCGGGCCTGTGCCCACGCCCACCTGGTCTCAGGGCTGCGGCCTCCAACAGTCCACACTAAGGCTCAGGTCCCTGGGAGGTGATGTGACCCAGTTCTGGCCCCCGCCCTCTCCTACTTCAATCTGTTCAGCCAACAAGGACTGAAGCCGGCTGAGCCAGACAGGCCCGAGCCCCAAACTCAGCCGCGAGGCAGCGAGTGCTGGTCCTCACAGGCCTCGTGTCCGGCTACACGAGCACATGCCCGAGCGATGCCCCCGGACCCGGGCCTGGACGTGAACACAGGTGAACACACGCGGGAGCCCTGGGGCAGAGGGGCAGCTGCTGCAGCGTGGCCGTGAGGGCTGGACCCTCAGGCGCGGGCAGCAACGGGCCGCTTGCTCTGGGATCGTCCCGGCTGCTGTGTGGGGTTGTGGGGGACCCTTCAAGGCCGGACAGGGGTGGGGAGTGCAGTCAGCGGGTGTGGTCACGGTGGTGGCCCAGGTGTGAGTGTGAGCATCAGACAGATAAGGTGCTTGGCTTGAAGGTGGGAGACAGGCCCAGGGCCTCGGGGATTCGACCCCATGGGGACAAGGGTTGGTATCCATGCATCCTGATGGTGGACAGGCGCAGCTAGGGGTTGAGCCCGATGAGGTCTGTGGAGGGTGGAGGGCTGCTAGAGGTCACACGGGGCCTGGACGAGGCGGGAGGACAGCCAGGACCCAGCATCCTGCAGAGTTCCTGGCGAGGACGCTGGGACATGGCCTTGGCGTCTGGCAGGACGTGGGGACAGGAAGGCCCCCTGCCCTCCCCAAGGACCTGGCTGGGCGGGCGATGTTTGCAGGTGCGTCTCCAGGGAGCAGGAAACAAGCTTCCGGATAACTGTTCCCGCAGAGAGCGGCGGGGACGCCAGCGCCCGCCCTGCTGGGGGCTGGGTGCCTGAGCCAGCAGCCACCCCAGGTGCCCAACCTGCACGTGGGCCGGAGGCAGGGGTCGCCCAGGCCAGCAACTGGGCAGCTCCTTGCCACGCACGTGCTGTGCCCAGGGGGCAGCGGAGCTCTGGGGACACCTGGCAGCTCAGCCAGAAATGCCAAAGCAAGAGCTCCCGGGCATCATGGCCGCCATCCGAGCCACCTTAAACCGTGCTGCTCTCCCTGCAGCGCCCACAGGCTCCGCTGAGGAGTGGGAGCCCTTGCTGGGAGGGCCACGCCTGCCCTGCAAGGAGCTGGAACCCTCAGAGCCCCTGCAGGGGGACGTGCCCGAGGCTGCGGCCTGAGGCTGGCTCCAGGCGACCTTCCTGCCAAGCCCTGGGACAGGAGGGGCAGCTGCGGCTTCCCCTCGAGCTATAAAAAGCCCAAGCCCGGCCCAGCGAGCAGAGGGCAGAGCGAGGGACAGGACGCACAGGACTCGGAGCTCGGACCAGCAACATGAGGTTGGGCCCCGCCATCAGGCTGCTGCAAGCCCCCCTGAGGGCCTGCGTGGTCCCCAAGGCGCATATCTCCGCCAAGCCGGCCAAAACACCCACTTCTGCCTCCGTAAGTACCCGGGAGGTGGCAGGGGCTGGCCCATGGAGGGCCGGCAGTCCCAGAGTTCTCAGGATGAGGCGGGTTCCAGGGTGGGCCCCAGGAAGCCAGGCTGGTAAAGGGAGAGGGGACGTCCTCCCAGGCCTGGTGCTGCTGGAGGGGACGCGGGCGCGGGGCCTGTCCTAGGGCGGGGCTTTGTCCCAATGCAGCCAGGGTCCCGGCAGCCAGCTGTCCCTGGGGCCTATTCTCAGGCTCCCACTGCCTCTGCCAAGGCAGGTGCTGAGGCTGAGCTGGGAGGTGCTGTGGGACCTGCAGCGTCACCCATGAAAGGGAGGGTGGGCTGAGGGCCAGGGGAGAGCAGACAAGACCCGTTTCCAGCCTAAGTCACCCGGCTAGGAAGGTCACCGGCCCAAGGTCATGTGCTAGGAAGCGAAGCCCGGAGCTCTGCCTGAGGCCTCTGGGGGTTGAAGCTAAAAGGATTAGCCCCCATCTGGCACCCGATCTCGGACACGGGAGGGCCCAGGCTGTTCCAGGAGGAAACCAGGGAAGTAGGGCTGCCTCTTCAGAACCCGCCCTGAAGGGAGAACATGGATCCAGGGAGCCCCACCGCCCCCGGGTCTGGAACAGGACCCCCCACTCCAAGGCCCTGTCCTTGTTTGCAAGCAACTTAGAACCTGGGCTGCCTGCCGCCCTGCAGGCCCTGACCAGCACCGAGTGCCCCGGGAGGGAGTCAAGGTCGGGGGGGCCGGGCGGGCTGGGCCGGCGTCTCACGTGCGCTCTCCCACGCAGGAGCAGGCTGCGGCGCTCGTGGTGACCTTCCTCAGCTTCATGGTCCCCTCGGGCTGGGTGCTGTCCCACCTGCAGAGCTACAAGAGCCGCTCCGCCGAGTGAGGCTCTGCCCAGCGAGGCCGGGCAGCTGCCGCCGTGGACATGGGAGGGAGCTCTCATTAAACCCTCCCCCACCGAACGCTCGCCTGTGTTCATGCACGTGCGCCACCTCCCGGACACTCAGCACAGGGCACTCGGGTCCTGGCACAGGAGCCGCTGGCTTGGGGCAGGGGGTGTCCCTGGCCCCCGGCCCCTGCCCCGCCCATCCCGTGTGCAGGAACGCTCTCCTCTGAGGGGAGGCCAAGCCACTTCCCCCCAAACCCTCCCATTCCCTCTCGTGCCTCGTCTCTGCAGACACAGGCCTGCCCTGGAGGGCGCGCCAAGGGAAACCAGAGAGGACATGCCAAAGGCGTTTATTGCAGGGTCCTCGGGCCACCTGGGAAGCTGCTCACACGGGTGGGGGGGAGGGGGGCAGATGCCCACACGCAGGGCCCACCCTCCTGATCCGAGGGCCCCACCCTCCCTGCGGGCCCGGAGACACCACGGTCCCGCTTTCACAGGAAGAACAGTCCTGCCCAACAGAACCCGCCTCGGTGGGGAGCCCTTGGCGGGGAGACCATGGCGGGGAGCGGGCGCTGCTGGGAAGACTCTAGGTGAGGACATCGTGCGCCTGGTGCTCCACCAGCATCTCCATGCTCTTGACGTCCGTGCACCAGGACTCCAGGCGGTCCTTCATCCCCTGGATCTGAGGGCGGAGAGCACACAGTGAGGCAAAAAGGGCCCTAACGGGGGGACCCCGAGCTGGGGGGTGAGGGTGGGGGGCAGGACACGGCACTGCACAGGCATCTCCCCACCACCACATTTCACACGCTGGCAGGAAAGAGAGCCGGCAAGCACAGGAAATCCACAGGATTAAATTCCAGCAAATGTGAGCAGGACGGATTTAGGCTCAAATCACATAAGCAGGAACGTACCTGATCAGAGGACCAATTTTAGGATTAAGGGGCACCACCAGCATGACCAGCACTGTTACCACAATCGCTTTTAAACACAGGGTTCAGGTCCCAGGCGGCATTAAACTAGGTTCCCTGACACCCTGCCCCGCGGCAGGAGCCCGCCCCGCGCCGCTTCCTTCCTGGTGGCCCGTCACCTGCTGCAGATCCAGCACGCGGGGCTGCACCCAGGTCATGTGGACGCGCCCGTCCACCTCGTCGATGCTGCCTTTCACCAGCCCCACCGACAGCGCCTTCATCACCAGCAGCTCCACCTGCGCAGAGGGCGGTGTCAGGCGGGCGCCAGCGCTGCCAAATGCCGGGAAGGACGCCGCTTCTCTGTGGTCTGAGTCGGGGAGCAGGGTGCCCCCACCAGGAGCGCGGCCCCTCTGGGACAGCCCCAGTCCAAACACTATACCTCGTTCACGCTGATCTTAGAACTTTTGGCAATTTCTTCAAAAGTGAGTTGTCTGTGATTGGCAGGTCGTGTGAAAGTCATCTGAAAAAAATTTCCCCAAATAAGAACTGTCAGAGAACTGAACAATAAGGACACTTTTATCAATACTTGCTCTGGAAATGTAGATGGGTTAGTACCTCTACACTAAAGCTTCCTTTGGTTTTTTTTTTTTGGTTGTTTGTTTTTGTTTTTATTTTGTAAAGTTTCCTTAACATTAGCCACATATCTCATTAACAACCAGCTTCCAATGCTTAGGTGAGACGGTAAGATTAGCCGTTTGGCAGCTTTCTGCAAGTCACTGCTCACACCGAGCAGGTGCTTGGAGCTGGGGACAATGCACTGAGCCGAACACAAGGCCCTTTTCTCAAAAGGCTCAAACTCACCCGCCACGGTGGCTCAGTGGCTGAGCGTCGATCTATGAACCAGGAGGTCACAATTAGATTCCTGGTCAGGGCACAGGCCCTGGTTGTGGGCTCCATCCCCAGTGTGGGGCATGTAGGAGGCAGCCGATCCATGATTCTCTCTCATCACTGATGTTTCTATCTCCCTCTCCCTCTCCTTCTCCCTGCCTCTCTGAAAGCAATAAAAATATATTAAAAAAGAAAAAGATATCAAAAGGCTCAAACTCTAGCGGGAAAGTCAGATGGGCTGTAGACAAGGAGTGGCGAGTGCCAGGAGGCGGCAGCCACCTTAGCTCCGATGGTCCAGCCAGGCCTCTCTGAGGAGGTCATGGACGCTGAGACCCAAATACAAACAGAAGAGCAAGTGGGGGAGGAAAAGCGGCGGGGGGGGAGGGGGGGCAGCGGGACAGCACTGTTGTTCTAGCTGATTCACCAGCTTCAGCTGCACCCAGGGCTTGGGGTTGGCAGGACCCGCGCCACCTGCCAGCCTCACGGCACAGAGGGTCCTGGCGCTCGCTTACCTCCATGAGGCAGAGCAGCTGGATCTTCCTCAGAAGCTGAGCTTCGTTGGCGGCGAGATCGGGCTGTGAAGGAGAAAGACAGGTCACCTGCAGGTGGGACAGAGACAGGCGGGCCCTGCACAGCACTGGCCCGGAGGCTCCAGACCAGCATCAGGTCCCGGGCTTCGCTTTTTGTAGGAAATGACTAGAACAGCGCCCAGCGGGAGGCTGTTTCCCAAGACAAGGACCTGACCAGGCAGGGCTGTACTCCTGTCAGACAGCAGGGGGCGGCCGCGGGGCGGCGGGTGGGCCGGGGCCTGAGGAGCACTCCTCAGTTCCAGGGACTTGTCCTGAGGGAAGACAAGTTCCCAGCTTCCCTGGAGGCAGCCCAGGCGGACAGTCATCTGCTGAGCTCAGAACGACACCCAAGACGGTTCGTGACCCCAGCCCCGCTCCTCTCTCCGCACGCGCAAGATCACTCTGTTGGAGGCCTGTGTCACCCTCCCCTGGCGCTGTCTGCAGGGCGGAGCATGACAGCTGCACCTGAGCTGCCTGGGGCCTCCTGCCCGGTGAGAGCAGGCTGCCTGCCTCGGTCTCCCCAGCGCCGGCTGGAGAGACAGGCGCAGGCAGCGCGGCCGGGACTGACCTGCTGGCCCCAGGCGGCCTTCAGCGTCTGGAACTGCTCCACGTTGCCGCTGTTGAAGGCATACAGGGTGTCAATCAGCCACTGGCGGTCGGTGCCCCTCAGCGACTCCAGCACGGGGTGCATGAGCTGTGGGGACAGAGCCGGTTAGCTGGCAGCGCGCCGTGCCCGTGGTGACGCGTCTGTGCCCGGGGCCCACTTACGAGTTCTCCGAAGTTAAACACTCCCTCGCCGAGAAGTCCCGCCAGGCCCAGCGTGAACGCTCTCTCCTGCTGCTCCGGCACTAGGACAACAACAACACCCCCCGTCACACACGTCACGAGCCCCCGTCCAGCTCGGCCTTAAAGGCCTCACAGGGAGAAGCGCGGCAGCACGTTCTGGGGTGGCCACAGCAGAGCTGACAGGCGCCACCGGTGCCAGCGCTGGGTTCAGGTTACGCGGGACCCGCCTTCACGGGTTCTGTGGGAAGTGCACTCGCTCCCTCACTCCCCCCAAATCTACATGGCGACCTACAGTTCCCGCTGTGCTCCCGGGCCCTCGGATGGGAGAGCGAGCCCCTTTACAGACTTCACTTAGCCCCTTTCCACCTAGAATTGGCCTCCTTTGTTCCCACCCAGCAAGCCCCTTGTCCTCGACACAGTGGCTGCCTTGCCCCCGGTGCTGCTGGAGAGGCAGTGATTCAACTCACTAACACTTTCAGGAGGTGCTGGTCTCGGTGCTTCCACCGTGAACCATGAGAAACCTCTAACATCTGCCGGAATTTCCTTTGTAAACACACTCACTGCACTCTCCCCAAGACTCTGGTCACTTTTCTTTCCTCCCTCAAATCCGTGGGAGGTTTTTGTCATTCGCTCCCCTGGGCCTAGCATCTGTTTTCAGAGGGTCTCAGGGCGGGGACGGGGTCCAGGCACTGACAACGCCCTGGAGGTGGGGCAGTCAGGCTCATTCCTCCTGAATCAAACAGCAAAGGACGGACAGCGGGGAAACTACGGCTGCCACCACCTTCCCGCTCTGACCACGGCTTCCTGACCAAGGGGTGCGGCCCCCGAGGGCCTTCTGAGACCCGCTGCCTCCAGCCCCTCCCGCTGCGGCGTCTGCAGGCCCACCTGGCAGGTCCTTGATGTCGACGCAGCCCAGGAAGCGCAGGGCGTCCTTGTAGTAGGACGCGTGGCTGCCCACCGTCTGGTAGTACTTGCTGGAGAGGTCGTAGAAGCGGCTGTGAACCGACGTCACCCCAGGCAGGTTGCTGAGCATCGCCTCCACATCTTCGATGGTCTCCTGCTCACAGGGAGAGAGGTGGCCTTCCTTTAACTCACAATGTCGTAAGGTGACATGTGACAAGATGAAAAGCACACTGCTCTGCATTTGGGTGTTAAAACAGAACTTCAGCCCAGCCAGCAGGGCTCGGTGGGGAGTTGCCAGCTCGAATCGCGGTCAGGGCACATGCCCAGGCTGTGGGCTCCACCCCCAGAAGGGAGTGTGCAGGGGGCAGCCGATCGATGATTCTCCCTCTCCCTTCCTCTCTAAAATCAATAGATTAAAAAATAAAAAAGTTCCAGGACAGGAAATGGACATGATGAGGATGCAGAAGAGGCGGGGCAGCAGCGTGCGACCGGGAGGGCGGACCCTGGTCAACAGGGGCCACAGGCTGTGCCTGGCGGAGGCTGTAACCCCTGCGGGGTCAGCACGCTGAGTCCTGCTTGCGGGTAACGGCGACTTACCAGCAACTTACCCTCAAGTGGTTTTTGAGGAAAAAGCCACACACACAGAATGATGGGCAAAGCGGGGAATGCTAACAACCTGAGGTGAGGGCACAGGAGAGCTTTATGCTATTCTTGCAACTTTCCTGTCACTTATTTTAAATAAATAGTTAAAAGAGGGAAAATAGGATTTTCCCCCTGTAGTTTTTTTTTATCACTGTTGCTAACCCTCATCTAAGGATATTTTCTCCATTGATTTTTAAAAAGTGAAAGGGAGGGGAAGATCAATGTGAGAGACACACAGGGAGTGGCTGTCTCTCCCACACACACTGACCGGGGCCGAGCTGGAACCTGCAGCACAGTAGGTGCCCTTGACCAGGATTCAAGCCCATGGCCCTTCGGTGCGCAGGCCAGCGCTCTAACCACTGAGGCACTGGCCAGGGCTT